ATTAGAAAATTTATTATATTCATGTAAATTTGAAATCTACTTAGATTGAATACTGTAACTTGTCTATATATAATAGTTAAACTGCAACTAAAGCTTATATTTAATGGATGACAGATGATAGAAATCATATACATAAATAATACATTAAGAATATGAATTTACAATAATTACTTTACACATTGTGATTAGGTTTAAGGTAAAACTAAAACCTTTAGAGCAGATGTCAAATCAGCTCTCGATCTCGCATTCCCTCAACCTTTAAGAATATAATTTCTCCGAATAAACTCGTTAGCTTTGCGAAACTACACCTATAAGCTTAGTTTGCAACCATCTAAAATGAGCTTTTGAAACTTTGTGGAGCTTTGCGTAGGCCAAGCTTTTCGCATTCGCAGCTCTGCTCGAGCTTTAGCACAGCTACGCAGCAGACTGAACTTTTAGCACAAAAAGCTGACGCTTAGCAAAGCCCACGCCCACTTCGCTGCCGCAACGACCTTGAGGAGGCGGCAACAACAATCAATGCAGTCGCTTGCATTGCACTGGCCAACATTCAATGTCAATGTCGTCCAAGCTTTTGCTTTTGCATACTCTCAGGCGGCACATTACGTATACGCCAGCAAGCCTACCAAATAACCAATTATATAGTGAAATAGAAAATATATGAATCAAAGAAAACTATATGTGACTATAGAGCTGTGCTCGCTACTATCAAATGAGAAACTGAGCAATTTCTAATACGCTCACGAGCAGCTTGCCGAAAGACAAAAGTAAAAAAAGATTCCTCTTGGACGACCAGAGCAAACTGTTGCTGTTTGTTTGGTGAGGCGCCCAGTTTCGTGGTTGACAGTGAAGGCGCCGCATGCCAAATTTTGATCATGACCGCGTAGAAAATAAATACAGCTATTTACACTAAATAAAAATATATGTATATATGTATATATTTGAGTGTATTTGAGTGGTGCCAAACCAAACAAACAATCAAAAAACGTCCGTTTCAATTAAATGAGTACAAAAATTGTGTAATCCATCCGCCACGCAATGAATAAGACCATACTGCACTGGAGCTACTTGAACTTCAAAGATGTGCCCATGGACTTGTTCTTGTATGAGGACCTCGAGGAGGTCTACTTGAAAGAGAACTATATATCTGCAATACCCAAATGGCTGCTGAATATAACCACACTCAAGTTCATCCACTTGGCTGGCAACAACCTGAGCGAGCTGCCAGTGGACATATATATGCTGGAGAATCTGGAGTTCCTGGATGTGTCCAACAATGAGCTCAGAGAGCTGCCCAAGACACTGGGCTTGCTGCTGCGCCTCCAGCAGCTGAACGTCAGCGGCAATCAGCTGACCGAACTGCCTGTGGGTAAGCGAACCACGCCGCCTGGCCTTGACCGCGTTCACACTGTAGATGCCCACTGTCTTCCTCAGAGCTAAACACCTTGCGCAATTTGGAGCAGCTGAATATAGCCAAAAATCAATTCCGTCGTTTGCCCATACAGCTGAGCGAATGCGTGCGCCTCAACGAGCTGAACGTGAGCGACAACGAGGCGCTGCTGCATCTGCCCGAGCGCATTGCCAATCTTCCCATGCTGCAATCCCTCCACGCCGATCGTAAATATATAATTGAAAGATTGATATAATTCTACTCACTCTCTCTCTCACTCTCTCCCACTCTCTCCCACTCTCTTCTTTGTCTGTTGCAGGCTGCGCTCTTATTTATCTGCCGGCAGCGCTCTCCAAGTTCATGAACCATGTGCGCATCTTTCACAACACCTCAGTCAACTATATCCCCATGATCTACGAGCGTTTCTATCAGAATTTCTACGATAACAGACAGAAAGTGACGCCCATGTGAGTGCTATCAATAACTATTATTTTAAATAACCCTTGTATTTTAAATATTCTTATGAAAAGACTAATTTTGAGTCTGAAAAGTTTTTAAACACTTGTATCTATATTTATATTTATTTTTCAAGTGTTTATGCCTATCAATAAATTAAAATCAAACTTTTTCATTTTATATATTTTACAATATATATTTATCTTTAAATTGAATCAAATTAAAACTTCTAAGTGCATTTTAGAGATTAATTTACAATCAATTTAATACATACACTATATTATTAATATAGGCCACGAATATTGGCCACATATGTTCTGTTAACTTTAAATCTATTTTCGATTGAGTAAGTTGAGAATCTGAACAGAATTGAGAATATAACCTGTTGCAGCTCCAACGCGGAGAAAAAAATATATAATATTTTATTATATATTTTTTTTGCCCTGAGTTGGAATCTTGGACAAATTTTAAATATAATATATTTTATATATATATTTTAGTGCATTTATCCCTATCATTGGATCAAATCAGAACTGCAAATGATTTTTAGAATTCTAGTTAAGTCAATTTTTACATATATGTATATATATGCATATCTACATATATATGTACATAATATATAGCAAATTTACATATTATATAGAATTTTATTTTTCATTTAATTTTATTATTATTATTTTTTTCCCCACTTTGACAATTAAGATCTTTCATTAATGAACGATCTCTCTTCTGCAGCCCCATCGCAAAGAAAGGATTTTTCTGGGTACGGGAATTGGAGACAAACAAACTTCTGCTGCTCCCAGTGGGCACACGCAAGATTTATGCCGTGCCCTCGGCGGAGAATCAGGTCACACTCTACGACGATTGCTTGCATGCGCTGCAGACGCTGAATCGCCACGTGCCTGTCTATGAGAATGCTGCACTGCATCGCATGCTGCCCGAGCCGTACATGAGTGGTCACATCAACAATGGACCCATTGCCCGCTGCACCACCACCAACTGCTCCAGTTGCCTCTATACAACCTACTACTTTATGGTCGTCAAACGGTAAGACCAACGATGGCCGCCATTGTTCTTTAGAGATTCGTTTAGCGCTGTGCGTAAAACAAAATGAGATGAAACCGGTTTCAGTTTTAGAGATATCGCGACTGGGATTCAATAGAACTACAAGAAACTTGCTTAAGCTAGAAATTCCTATTGTGTTTACTTTATGTGAGGCAAAAATCTATCATGACATATTATAAATGTATTAAGGATAGTATAGCCTAGCTGTGGTTCGTAAGGTATTGTAAAATTAAATGTATGCAACTGATAAATTGTGGTATATATTTAATTTTTTTAACATTAACAAGTTCTATCACAAAACTTGAATATTCTAATATGATGAGCAGGTATTTTTTTAAGTCTTTCAAAATTGAAATTTAATTTAATCTAGATTTATGTTTATATGTGAAATAGTTTATAGGAAGTTAATCATAAATACCCCTCTTTTTCTCCTGTTCTCTGGTTGATTTCACTCTGCACCTATGAATAAGCATTTGTTTATATACATATTTAAATAATCAATTTAATACTTTTTACTAATCAACATTAATACTTAATGATATTATTTACTTTTTCATCTTATTTAATATTATCTTACTTGTACTTATGATAATCGAAAGTGTAATGGAATCCCTAGACAGAATTTTAGCCCAATAACATCTAGTTTATGTAGAATGGATTGAATTCTTAATGATACCTATAATACTAATAATAAGTTAGTGGGGATAGATTATCGCGAATCGATTGTATATGTAATTTGATAACATTATAGTTGATCATAGAATTAAGACAAGATCGAAAACCCCTCTCGATTCCTTCTCAAACCCCATTCGGAATGCAAGTGCCTAAAAATTCCTTTCGTAGAGTTGACTTAGGCAACAGAATTTTCAAGTTTTAATCACTTACCTGTCCATTCGTCTGTTTCAACATTCTGATTTCTCCACTTTATATACAGTATATATATATATAAACATTTCAATTCTTTCGTTTCTTTGCAGACGTGGCAGCGCCTCGAAGCAATTATTCACTTGCAATTTTTGCACACAGTACTGCGCACTGCAATGGCTCTCGGGCAATATGAAGAAATATTATCAAGTCGACTGGAAAGTTTGCGACGATGACGATCTCGATGATGATGATGATAATAATGGTGATAATGACAAGACAAGACAGAGTTAAGTGGGGCTGGCGTGAACGTCACGAATGTTTGTACAACAAATTAGCATTGCTTTAATTAGACCTTAGTTTTATAATTGTTACTCAAATGCCTAAGCTTTGATTGAGTGCTCATTAAAGTGTCTATCCCTAGCCAGCGGGCAACCAGCGCCTACCACATATGCGAATGTCTTTGACAGGGCTCCGAATTACTACCCTAGACATAGCTCTGCGTCAGGCCACGCTCATGGACATGCACATAATCATCCAACACGCAGTGCACAGCTGTGGGAAACGCCTGGCGACAGTTGACGCCGTGCCTGCCCATGCTGTAGGCATCCAGATAATGGTTGGGCAGAGATCTGTGGGGTCTGAGCAGGATAGAGTTACATAGATACATAGATAGTTACCATTCATATAGCTACTCACATGAGCAAGCGGTGCAGCAGCTGCGCATAGAGCCCATTGTGCTCGTGCACCTGTCCATTCTCGCAAATCAAACGCTGCAGGCAGGCTTTGCCATCTTGGCCGCGTTGATTCATGTACTTTAAGGCGAGCTCGTATATAAACTGTTGTGCTGCATCCACTTGTGGGGGCTGCGAGGCACTTTGCTGGCGCTGCTGCTCTTTGGTTAATTTAAGGGGACCCTTAAGATCCCTGTGATCTCTGCGACCTTCGCGATGTCCCCACAGCTTCCACCAGTAGACGGGAGAAGTTGGCTCTGGGAATTGATAGTGAAAGTTCATCAGGCAGATCAGCTGACGCCAGGCGTGCTTTTCGTCCAAGTTCACAGGAAATGCGATGCCGGCTACCAGCTGCAAAGTGTCAAAGGTCAAACGAACTCCTTCGCCGTGTAAGTAGGTCAGATGGGAATACCTTTATAATGCCACCATCCTCGTAGATCAGAAAACGCTTCTGCCTGCGATGCTGGCGCCAAGTGGTCAAATTAACATCCACTGCCGGCACAGCGTCCAGCGCCAGCAGCAATATTAAGAGCAAGCCCCTAAAATATGGCAAACTAGTTAATTTTAATTGAGCAATTCAACTATGGGAATTTACTAAACGCACATTATGTTCATTTTGTGCGCTCGTCTCGTGCTCTCCGGTCGAGCGTTAGGCTGTTTATGTTTCGACGCTTTCGATTGCATCTCTGAAGACCTGTTCCCGTGACAATCTCGAGTGCGAGGTGCGAGATAAATTCACGTGCTTTGGCGGGTTTCCTACATTTACCTGTCGTTTCAATTAGCACGTATACGCATTGACTGGCGCTATACGCAGTGTTCAGATAACGGAAAGTCTATAAGACTTAACGGTAAGTCAAGTAATTAGCATTTCGACCTTGCCTTAAACATCTACTAACAACATAATGAAACTTGAGACCCAAGATGCATTCTCATTTCTTTCTAATGCAACTCAAAACACATGGAACGATACATTACAATGGATAATTTGAATGGGAGTTAGTAGACAGCGTCTAAATATATGTGAATTGAAAGACATTTAGGCCTACGCATATGTTTTACATACCTTATATCTCTAGTCTACAGGCTAAAAGTTTTCAAGCTAAATTCCATTAGATTATTAGTTAAATTAAATACTCAAGCTAATTTCTTCTTTAGCCAATGCAGAATTGTAGTATAAAGGGAATACATTTAAATTACAATTCATTAGAATGACTAGATCATTTAATTATTAAGTGTAAATTATATTATAGAACTATAATATACATTGTTTTGTCCGATCATTGTATCAAACGAATATCTATATGTATGTAAATTATTATTTTAATATAATGAGCTTAAAAGATATAGAACAAAATTACTTCAAGGTTCCCATAGAGAGAATATAAAACAATAATGGTTGATGTAATATAATTTTTAATGGTATATATAATAGTAATATATATAAGTCTGTACAAATTATCCAAGCACTCACCTATATTATGCTAGACTTTCTATTTAATTCCACCAAAATACGAGAAAGATGTAAGAGTACTTTAGCCGGTATTTTCCTACTACGAGTTACCGTGAATCTTCCGAAATGATGCTCAATCAATCATTTAGATCTTCACTATTTGATTCATTGCATCAAAAATCCGATTGCTTAACAAGGCTACTACAAACATTCTCACTAAGCCATTACACCCTGATATCCCAATTTCAATGGATTTATGGCACAAAAAAAAAATATCGTTTCGTTTTGCAACCTTTCCCCAGCCAAATGCTTCGTGCAACAGAAACCCCTTCACCCAACTGCAACTACAGCCAAACGGAACTCCCTGACTACGCGCGTTGCTGCAACCAGTTGCTGCCTCAGCTGCTGCCATGGCATTCGATGGCATTGCCATAGAGCTGTTTGTTCCATTTATTAGAGAGGCAGAGAGACAGTCAAGAAGAAAATGTCGAAACAGTTGGGCAGCTAAAACTCGACTGCTACAAAATTCTAATTCGCAACAATCCGGCTACAAGATTTGGTAAAAAATCAAAATTATATATTCAAATTTCTAAATTTCGAGGAGTTGGCAAAAATTTACCCTTAGAATGATACGTTTGCCTGGAATGCCAATGCTGCCAGGTGCGCAGTTCTACGATGTGAGTAGCCAACTGGTTTCCTGCATGCACACACACACACACACATACTAAGAGATATATCCCCCACCCACTCTCCTCTTCCGTTCTTCGTAGTATACCAAACGCCGTCATCCGCGTCGCCAGACCTTGATGCACTACCAGGGCATACACATGCTCTCGGATCGGCGCGAACCGGAGCTGGTGGAGCCGAATGGACCGCTAGTGGATCCCAAATGTCCTCCACCCAGCACCGAGCTGACTTTGATGAGTCCACCCAGGGTGACGACCAAGCTGCCGCCTTGGCTCGCCTACGATAAGCAGGTGCTGTGCTTCAATGCGTACTTCAAGGAGCCGCTCACCGAGATCTATCACGCGCCCTACCAGGTGCGCAAGGTGAAAATCTACTTCTACCTGGAGGATGGCACCATGCAAGTCACCGAGCCCAAGGTGGAGAACTCGGGCATACCGCAGGGCTGCCTCGTGCACCGACAGCGCATACCCAAAGGGCCGCCCAGCGAGCACGAGCTCATCTCCATATTCGATCTCAATGTGGACACCAATGTGCAGATCTTCGACCGGGTCTATCACATAACTGGCTGCGACATCTTCACGAGACAGTTTCTTAGTCGCGCCGGCATCGCAGTGCCCGTCGCGCTGATGGAGCCCAAGTAGCCATACTAGAGTTGCCAATTTGAGCAGAGATCAGCTAATTTCTCTTCTTCTCTCTTGCAGTGATCCCACCACGGAGCTGCGCAAAAAATCCGCCATCAGGCAAACGACTCGACCAGCAACGAGCGCCTTGCCTAAGCGGCATGCATTCGCCCAATTCCTGGAGTTCGATCGACGTGTGCTCAAGTTTCAGGGCTACTGGAACGATCGCTCGGAGTTCGGCTATGTCCGGCGGCTGGACGTCTGTTACTATCTAGCCGATGATACCATAGACATTAAAGAGAAGTTTCCACGCAACTCCGGCCGTGAGGGAACCAACACATTTCTCAAGCGGGGCAAGCTGCCCAAGGAGTTTACGGGTCTCTCGCTGCCGGGTCAGCAAACAGCGATCACATTGCTGAATGTCCTCGGCTCCAATATGCGCGACGTGCGCTACGTGGCAGATCCCCTAAACACTGGCCAGAAGCAGACTGTCTACTACACGGATGAGGACTTGCGAATCGGCGCCGTGCTGAATGTCTTCGGACGCGATGTGGTGCTCACCAGCTGCGATCAGTTCACCCAGCAATATTACAGAGAGAAGGTTGGTTGTTTTTCCTCAGTTATCTAGAAGATTTATCCAACTCCATTGCTCATATGAGAATTCTTTGCCCAGTACGGCATTCAAGACTTTACACCTCAGCCTCTGCCGGAATCCAGCGATGAGCGCGTCCTAAGCCAGGGCAAGATGCGGCGTCTGCCGCCTTACAATGGCTGGGGCAGCTATGAGGATTCAGAGGGCAACTGCATCACCGTGGAGCCCAAGCCGCCACAGGCGGACTTTAAAAAGCTGATGAAGTACGACGGATGCATTCTGCGCTTTGGTGCCAAACTGATGTCCATCATTCGGGAGAACTGCGAGCGCAGCTTTGTGATTAGCTATTTTCTAGCGGATGACACCATCCAGATCTATGAGGTGGCCCGGCGCAATTCCGGCTTCTCGGGCGGAGAGTTTCTGAAGCGAGCGCGTGTCGAGCTGCCCGGCCAGGAGAAGTTCAGCTCGAACAGACCGGAATACTATCGCGCTAATGACTTCTACATCGGTGCCACGCTGAGCCTCAAGGATCACATCTTCCACATCAATTCAGCAGATGAGTTTACGCTGCTCTACATGGAACAGCATGCCAATGAGGTGAGCTAATTCCGTATTTGATTTTACTCCAATTCCCATTTCTTGTCATTCGTTTTCAGTTTCCCGTGGCGGACATACGTGCGATTATGCAGAAGATCCGTGATGCAGTGCGTCCGCATTACAAACAGTTTGTGCTGCGCTGCCAGCCGAATGCTGATCTGCGCGAAGGCACCACCGTCAGCTTCGATACGCTGAAGTCCACCCTGCTCGCGTTTCTCCCTAAGGAAACGCTGCGGAATCATGAGATTGTTACGGTGTGTCGCTACTTCTCGTCGGAGCAGATGCCGCCGCCCAGCTGCGATCGCAATCACGTGCGCGCCGCTGCCCAACTGGAACTGAAACGAGCGCTGTGGAACAATGTGGATGAGATCATGGAGCACTTGAGTCACATAAATCCCACCTGCAAGCCGTACATAACTGAGGCGCAAGTGAGATCCACGCTGCGCGGCTGTCGCCTGCCGTTTAGCCTGGAGCTGGTGGAGGACATACTGCAGGTGCTGCACCGCAACGAGCAGGGCGAGATTGAGATGCGCGATGTGCTCACGTTCTTCAACATGGCTGCCGACCAGGTGCCCGACATAGCACCCATCAACATAGCCTTCGAGCTGTGTCCAAAACTGCCCTTTCTGCACAAGGGGCGCCTGGTGGACTTCAATTGGTTTTTGCAGTATTTGGGATTGGAGGATGAGATGGTCCGTGACAACCGTTAAGATTGATAACCAATGAATTCAACGAGCTTTTAAGACGAGCAGCTGCGGCAAATCGAAAATCTATGAACTATTCTTCAATATTAGATAATTATAATTTTTCGATTTAACGTAGGATCTCTTGATAAATGCTTAAATGTAATTTAATTCATTCAACACGAATCTTGAAATACATTTGCAAACATTGGAATACTCAATATAATGCAATTGTTTCTATGGGTGCTACCTGACAGTGCTCATATTATATATAGTTTTTATCAGAAAAGTATGTACACAAGAAGAAATCAATAAGCTTTTGCAAAAACTCACATTGTTTTTAAATTAGCTATATTGTATCTAGGCCCGAACCGGATAAAATCGATATATGTACTATATACTAACTAACTACTACAATTGAAACATTGCGTTTGAAATTCTACAATCGTTGGTTTTATAAAAATTGTTGCATGTTGTGTATATACAAAGAAAATATGGTGACAAATGCATATTTGAAAATAAGAATTTGAAGGAATGCGCGGAACTTTATGCTTATAAACTAAGTTGTAAACGTTGCTGCTTATAAAAACCATAAACAACAACACACATATGTACGGCTTAATCAATGTGCGTTGTTTTATAGTTTGGACTCTGTGAGCCAGTTGAACGATTGTGGCTTGCGATCAGAGGAGGGACTGATAGCCACATTTATGATGGTAGGCCTATCCGTCAGCTGATTGGCCGCCTTTACGGCCGCCTGCAACTCTTCGATCTCAGTGCAGAAATAGCCCTTCATGCCAAACATTTTCATCATCTCCTCGTAGCGCACCTGCACGCCCAGCGCGGATGGCGGTGTGCTAGAATCAAAAGCAAACATGATAAGATTAGCTGCGAGTTATTTAACGGAAGATAAGATGCGAATCTTACATTTTCGCCAAGTCGCCCTCACTGCGTATTGCCTCAAATGTGTCCTTGTCGAACCCGCCGTAAATGCCATTGTTGTTCACAATCACAATGGTAATGGGCAGCTTGTAGCGCACCATTGTCTCGATTTCCATGCCCGAGAAGCCAAAGGCACTGTCGCCCTCCACGCAGAGGACACGCTTGCCCGGCGCAAAGTCGCGGCAATAGAGAGCGGCGGCGACCGCAAAGCCGGGCCCGACTCCCATAGTGCCAAAGGTGCCAGCATCGAGGCGATGACGCGGCTGCTCGTTGAGCAACATCGAACGACCAATATCCATCGTATTGGCGCCCTCACTAACAATAATTGTATCACGTGGCAGCAGCTCGCGCAGATGATGGAAGACCGAATAGTAGTTCAGTGGCGTCGTTGTATTCAGCGACATCTGCGCAACTGTATCGCGATTCTGTTTGCACTTGGCCACCAGCTGCTTCCACCAGTCCTGCTCGTAGCCAAAGCGGAAGTTAACCGCGTTCATTTGCTCGAACAGCTGCTCGGCAAAGGGGCGAATGTCCGACTGGATGGCCACCGATGCAACCACTGAGTTGTTCAGCTCCTCGGAGCAAATGTCTACCTGTATAAATTTCACATCCTTGTCGTAGCGGGGCGGGCGCCCAAAGTGCAAAATCCAATTGAGCCGAGCGCCCAGCAGTAATATCACATCCGCTTTCTGGAGCGCCAGGGTGCGAGCCGAGGCGACGCACTGAGCAGCCGTGTCAGAGACCACCCCCTTACCCATGGGCGTGGGCAGGAACGGTAGATTTGTGTTCTCAATGAAATGACGCAAAGTGTTCTCGGCATGAGCATAGGCGGCGCCCTTGCCAATGATCACCAGCGGACGCTTCGCCGTACGCAGCAGCCTCGCGGCGCGTATGACATCATCATGTGGTGGATAGGCGAGTGGCGCGACGGGATGTGCAACAGATTTGTAAATCGTCGATTCAATCGCCTTCGATTGCAGTATATTGCCGGGGAAATCCAAATAGGCCACACCTGGACGACCATAGGTGGCATAGCGCACAGCCTTCTCAACGTGCAGCGGAATCAATGCAGCGTTGGCAGGACGTGCTGCGTATTTACAATAGGGACGCGACAGTTCCACTTGAGGGCACTCCTGGAAGCCGCCAATACCCTCGTGATCCTGATTCGTGGCACCTCCAATCACAATCAACGGCCAGCAATTGACTTGAGCATTGGCCATGCCGCCTAGAACCGAAAGATAGTTTTACTATATAATTCAATGCGATGCATTTGGACTCTTACCCGTCACGTGCAGCAGACCAGGTCCAGAGACAACCAGGCAGACGCCCGGCTTCCCCGTCAGATAGCCAATGGCTTGAGCTGCATAACAGGCGGCCTGCTCATTGCGCATGCCAATGTACTTCAAGCCAGCCGCCTGGAAGGCCATCGACAGCTCAATAACTGGAATTCCAATGATGCCGAACACATATTCCACCCCCTGCAATGTCCAGACAGATCATATTTGCATTAAAAATTAGTATATGTGTAATATATAAAATGATTTAAATCAGACTAAGTGTGGGCTTGAAAATGTTGATTGAATGTGCAAATATTTTAAGATGCTTCTATGGCCACTATTTAATTAGGCAATAAAGATTGCGCTGCAGCAGCTGATCAAATATACGAACTGTAAAATGTTTTTTAAAAAAAATTATTTTATACTTTTTAAATTTCATTTAAAATTTTATAATTTTTTGAGGTTTAAAGTTCAATAGGGCAATTGAAATTCGTATAACAATTTGCTCTAAAATCTCTTTCAAGCTGTTTATTGATTTTAATCAGCTGCTGAACTCGTGTGATTTACAGCTTACAGAGTATGGGGGGCAAGTATTCAAAACCTTTGGAATACTGTGCACCTCATATCAAGATTCGCTCCGTATCTATATCACCAAATAGAGCCGCCGGCTAGCAACAACAACAATTTTGACAACCAAAAACAATATACACACATACTCAAAAACATGCAATAACATTGCTTGGCCACTTTCTGAGTGCTTTTTGAACTTTGCACAACAGAAAAATTGGATAGATAAGCGGTTTGGCCCTGATGCCGTTAATTCTACAGTTGAACGCACTGCGCGTTCTCTTACCCCTCCCTCAAACGAAGAGTTTATGCAAAAAGTGCATATCATATAGGAGACAAAAGACAAAGATGGTGTGACAGAGTGGTGCAATTGGCTTACCTGTTGCTTCAAAGATTCCGCAATTATTTGCACAGCTTCGACTTCGGCCATTTTGACGATGTGTGTTGTGCTAAATGTGTAAAGTAATGTGCGCTGTTGCGTTTATACTGCGCTTATAAATAAATAAAGTTAACTTACTAAAAGCAGAGTTGCCTTTCGCGTATGCACACAAATACAGTAACAGACGAGTGAATGTAGCAACAACAGTTTGCTGAACTGCTATGAGCAGCTGCCAATCAACAGCAATGTTAATGCTATCTTAAGTGCTCTACTCAAAATGGTACTGTAACACTACAACAATGTATAATATAATCGAAAATCGATATTAGAGCGCGCCGATAATTTTATTTAAAACTTATTTTTTATTTTATAGTAATAAAAATATAACATTTTTAAAGTGATTAATGCACAACAAGCATAAAATCATGTTTAGATTCATAGATATAAAAATATTCATTTAAGGAAAGCAATGTTTTCACTTAGACACTTTTAATATTTTTTAATTTACAATACTCTGTCTCAATTTTAGACAATATATATATTTAAGAAAGCCCTTATTTCATCATTGCATCATACGTGTACGACCGTGATGAAAATTTATTAAAACTCCATTTATCAACAAAAAAAATCAGCAACGTAAAAAAGCGAAGCTTCGAGTTGTGCATTTTGATTAACATTTAACTAATTGTTGTGTCAATTTGGGGTTTTTTGCTTGAATGCGCAAAAATTAACGTTTGCAGAGACCGCAACCAGTCGCATGGCTTCCCCTCTAAAAGCAAAACAAAACAAACCAAAAAAAAAAAAAGCTAAATGTTAAGGCCGTTAACAATTTGACGTTTTATATGTTTATGTCGGCAGGTTTCAATATCTCTAGTAAACGTGAGTATTACACAATGTGGGTGTCAAGATCTTGATGGGAAAACTTAGTCAATCGAATGTATATTTTTATGCAGTAATTATTTTAAACTTGAGGTAATTATATAATATCTGTTCAAGCGAGAGAATTAAATTAAAAACAATATACTTTTAAAGTAATAAATACCAGCATTAAGTTTAATAGGATTTGCTATTAGTGCACCCCTTAAAGGTGCATACATTAGCTTATATATACAAACGTACATACGACATAATAATATGGCATATATATATACATAGAGTACTACGAAATCACAGCTGATTGCCAAGGCACAAACTACAACTTTGTGTTGACGACATCCTCCTTAGGCTCGGTGGTCTGCACCTCATTCCATTTTTGTATTTTCCCCGAGCCGAACACCCAGAAAAATAAGGCAGGCAAAATGTAGGCAGCGGCTCCAATCATAAATATCCAGAACCATTCATCGATGGTATTCTGCAACAATCAAAAGATTAGTTAACGAAAAGTCTAATTAATTTAAGATTTTAGTCGCACCTTCTCTTCAGTAAACGCGGCTACGATCAGTGGCGAGAAGATGCCCGGCGTGGTGCCCAGGCAATTGATGATGCCGTACATGGTGCCCGCAAAGTTGGGTGCCAGATCCTGCGAGTTGGCCAAATTGGTGGAGGTCGCAGCCCCATTGAAGCCCAGCGATATGGTCATAATGGCCACACACACGTAAGGGTCGCGGCCGCAGAGTGCCAATATTATGAGCATAATGCCGGGCAAGATGTGAGCTATAAGCCAAAGAGTAGAGGATTAATATTCATATTGGAGACAGGTTAGTCTTTTACTTACAAGGCACGCAGAACAATTTGCGAGTGAACGTCAGAGTCCACCAGCCCTTGTTTCGAATCCAATCCGCAACGGAACCGAAGGCAAACGCAGCCAACAGACGCGCAATGTGCGGCAAGCTGGACAGGAAGCCAGCCGAGGAGAGATTGAAGCCAAGCACCTCGCTTAAGAACTTGGGCGTGGCTGTGATCAGGAAGAAGAGACCCCACATGCTACCATAGTGCAACAGAGTCAACGCCCAGAAAGGCATCGAGACGATGAGCTGTCTATATGGAGGCCATTTCTAGATGAACAAGAAGTTGAAAGAGAATCAATCAGTTCGATGGTAATCTATCTTAAATCCTCTCAATACTTACCGCCTTTTTGCTTAGAGTGCCGCCCAGACTGTTCTCAATATACTCCCGCTCCTTGATGCTGATGCTGCTATGCTGGGCGGGCGTGTCGCTCACCAGGTAGAACCACAAGCCCACTATGACGACCACAAAGGCAGCGACCACATAAAAGGCCCACACCCAGCCCAGACCCTCGATGATGAGGCCGCACAGTGGCCACGTGATGACCGTACCAAAGGTGCCGCCCATCAGCGAGGCCACGAACTTTCCCTTCTCATCGGGCGGCGACCACTTGGAGACCAAATTGTGACAGCACGGATAGACAACGCCCGAGACGAGACCAATCAGAAAGCGTAGAGCGAACACGGCGTACTTGTCCCAGGAAGCGGCCAAGGGAGTCAGAGCGGTTAGCAAAGCGCCCAGCAGGCAACTATACCCAGCCACATTGCGACCGCCGAGCATCTCCGCCAGCGTGCCACCCGGCAACGAGGTGATCATGTAACCATAGAAATAGCCACCCAGCAGGAGGGCCTGATCCTGCTGCGTCCAGTCGTAGCGCACGCCATACTATAACAAGGAAACGGATAGTGATAATTAAGATACAATGATAATGAGATATACAGTCCACTACTCACATCTGGCTGCTCCACGAGTGTTCCATTCTCATCTCGTTCCGTTACCATGGCAATGATATTGATCGACAGATTCACACGCATCATATAATTGATGAGGCACATCATGAACAACATTATGGCCACAATCACGCGCTTTGGCACGTAAACTGTCAAATAACAACAAATATTTGCATATATAAATAATGCTCAATTGCTATACTCATTTGTCAATTGAATGGGTGATTCTGGCTTCTCTCTTAATATCTATTCAGGAGCTAAAACATTTCTTAAAATCTCATTGAGCTGTCTGAAAGAGATAAATCTAAGGGCTTATGGATTTTGAAAAAAGAGAGAAACAGAAATCTAAGGGATTATGGATTTTGAAAAAAGAGAGAAACCGTTATAATTCGACCTATTGAATAACAATCTTAAGAACAAGAATGATTTATAACAATATTGACAATTTTAAAAGTAAAATAATTATATTCAATTAAACTATTATCAGTTATTAAACTATTTGATCACTTTTTAATATCATAAAAGCTAAAAACAAAAGTTTTGGCTCTGAGCTGTTTGAAAAAAAAAAAAGGAGAAAAAACATTTGAATAAAGACTTTGTACTTATATCGTGTCCTAGATTAATTTTATTAATGAAAAATATTTAGTTGTATATTTTTTGGTTTTTATAGTTATATATTAAAATGAAAAAATGTTCTTTATAGTCTTTTAAAAGTTATATATTCAAAATTAATTTGTATATATTTAATTAGAGATTCAAGAAGAGAACACAGAAGATATACATGTATATTTACTGTTAGATCTAGAAAAATCTACAATTGCTGACGAACTCTCTCTCAAAAGTAGGTAGCAATTATCTTCACATTCGAGAGTTTCAGAAGAGTTCAATCGAAACAAAAACCTAAAGCACCTTTTGAGCGCGTATTGCTAGTCGCTAGTGCCGTAGGTGTTATTGTTGTTTCTTTTTGTCTATTTTGCTACAAATATTGTTATATTTATTTTGTATTTATTTACACATTTTCATCCCGTCTATAATTTGACATGAGCGTTAGAGCAATTAGCGGCATATCGACGGCTCTGTCAACGTCAACTTTGCTTATTTTATTCAGGGCCTCTAATGAACGGCGCCTGCGTAACGCTCAATATTGAAGCGTTTCATTAAGCCCACAGCTCAGATAATTTTTTGCACGTGAATCTTATTTTGGATTGCATATATTTGTGTGTTTAATGTGTGTTTACTTACAGAAGGGGATAACAGCCATTTTGCCGGATTATTGTTGCCTTTATTGCTGTGCCGCACGTCAATATCAACTGAAAGATGATAAGAGGAAGCAGTTGAACACTTTATTATTATGCATTACACCTGAGGAAAGTCGCAATCAAATTGCTTCAAGTTTAAATAAGTGCCACAATTTAACGTAAGCCGAGAATGCGGATTTATTTATTTATTAATTTTGCCTTTCGCTTTTTTTGTGTCATTTTCGTTCAGGTTTCCATGCAGAGATATCTTAAATAAATATTTTATCAACTTAAGCATTATACACTCGATTTATTTAAATAAAAGGAAACCGCCTCTTATTTCTTTGTTTTGTTTTTCACTATGCAGAAATATTTAAAATGCACAAGTTTAAAATTATAATTTAGTTCTGACTTTTAAAATGGTATTTAAAATTTTAAGAAAACTTTAACTCTAAGGGTATTCACATGGTTTTTAATAAGATCTCAAAGCATGCCAACTGTAAAGCTTAACGAGCTCTACGTAACTTGAATGCCCCAGTCAAGCTTTTATGAGGTAATTAACAGCCGATCTGGCAAATGAGTTCTACAGATTATTCTAAATGAATTCTTCACGACAGATTGATCGACTCTTCGCATTCATTGAGTTGCGAGCCCAGATTTAATAAGTTCCAATTCAAATTATAGACAATACCAGTGAAATTGTGAAGGGATTTGTTTTTGTTGCTTCGTTTTTTGCGCAAACTGGGGAATCACCTGATCGACCTGCATCTCTCTCTAGCTAGCTTAGCTCTATTTTATATCTTTTGAGCGGGTTTTTTAAGCACAATTTGGCTAACACGTGCCACATGAATACAGTTACCATATCTACATATATTAGCGACATCGAAGAGATATGGGCCTATTGTTAGTTGACAAACAGTTTAAGCACGTCTCGCTACCATTTTGGCCAGGCACGTGAGCAGCATTCACGCCAAACTGAGTTATGAACATGACAAATCGCAATACCAAAAAAACTTGTCATCAACTTTTTAAAATGTTTTTGATTTAATTCTTGATTTATGTGTGTATGTACTGCATATATACTATATTTAGTGGCCCGTCATTGTGGTCATTGAAGCAGCCTTTTGATAAGGTAATTGCACCCAAGCACGCCACACTAAATATTTTTGTAAAATATTTCCGGTACAAAATTGTTCAGATACAATCCCGAAAAAAAAAAAAAAATAAAAAAAAAATTAGAGAGAGATCTAGAATTGCATTCGCAAATTCAAAAATACTTGACCAGAGTGTTTGTGTATATA